ATAATACATTTTTTTGGAAGAGATATGTAACACCTCAAGATCACAATTGTATGTAAACATATATTTTCATATATCATGAAATATAATTTATATAACTGGTCCCACTATCTATAAAGATTACGCTCCTAGCAGCTACCAAATTTTTCCACAAAATCTTTATACAAGACTTGTATAAATAACAAGTATTCAGATACAAAATAATAACATGGTAGCTCAATCTCCCATGCAAACATAAATATGACACTTCACAATTATCCCTTCCCCTTGTCCTCTAGTTGAGTCTGACCTGCAATTCACATTTTTAAAACACAAAAATAAGGGTTGGACCTTGAGGTCTAGTGAGAAATCTCTTTGATGCTATTACAGGGTGAATAATCACCAAATCACATTTATAAACTCATATTTGTAATAATAACAAATATATATTATTATGATATAACAAACCTTATTTATTGTATCAAAATGTCAAATAACTTAATAAACACATTCTGAGTAACCTTGTTGCATCATATAGATGAATATATAATTTTCTCGCCTCACATGGATGAGACAATCTCATTTCATCGCATCACATTGATGCGATAAACCCAATTTGTCGCATCACAAGGATGCGACAAAACTCACTTCTCGCATCACATAGGTGCGATAACCACTTCTTATCACATTAATAGGATGCGATAACTCTTAGTTATCATATCACACAGATGCGATAACTCCAAGTCATCGCATCATAAAGATGCGATAACAATGAATGTTTTGATCAAAAACCCAGATTTTCTAACTCATGATTTTGCCACATTTATCCTGCTATACACCTCTCCTTGATATGTCACTCTTATCTCAGTATACACATCTCCTTGATATGTCACATTTATAACCAAAATACACCCCACCTTATTATGTCACCCTTATTCCAACACATGATATAAACATATCAAAGTCTCACAGTTATGCCAATTATGGCATCCAAAACAGTTTTATAACAACTACTCATATAAAGAACCATATGGTTTCACATCCGGTTTCCAAATAAGGAAAGTTTGTAAAATTAAACTCACCTTATGTAATCCACGTAGAAGAAGATATGAAGATGAATGACAATAAATTCAGATAACAACACATAATCAACTTCTTCTTATTCTCTTTTTGTTTATGTTTCCTTCAAACTCCAGAACACACATAAAAACCTTTTCCCAGTTTTTCTTTTTATCTTACTTTTAACAATCCCATGAGATAATATATTTATCTCATATTATTATGCATAAAACCATGAGGCAGTAGGTAGATTTTTAAATGATTTAATCATAATAACAAATCTAACCCCTCAACTTACCACAAATTTTCAAAAATGACCCTAAACTTTGTGGTCGAATACTCGGTTATCATAGTATACAAAAAATATATTGTATTATTGAAAATTTTACAAATTGTATAAATGTATTTTCTAGTTTTACAATAACTTAACGAATTATATTATTATATTATTTAACCAAACTAAATGATTAGTTCATATATTAATTTCGAAATAAAAGTATCTTATTATTAACAACATTTAGTTGAATAAAAAAAATTACATTATAAAAAAGAGTAAACTATACTTTTAGTCCTTGTGATTATCACCTATTGGCAACTTTTGTCTCTCTTTTAAACTAATTACTATTTTGGTCCCTATGATTGCCATTTTGTTTCATATTTAGTCTCTTTAGTTGCCATTTTGTTTCGAATTTAGTCTATCTTGTTAACTCCATTAAGTTATTGGCATTTTGATCTTTTTACTTTTTCTTTATTTTTTTTATTTTTTTGTTCCGTTAGATTTTTCTCTTTTTCTTATTTTTAAATAAATTTTAACGTACATATACCTAAAGCATGTGTACAATAAATTGATGCATCCCACCTTTCCCCTTAACACCTCCACAGTCCGCTCAAGCAATCCCTCACCCCCTCCGGCCATCTTCTCTGGTAAACCTATGATTCTAACATAATCCTTAACTACAATATAAACTAATATTTCAAAAATAACCTTAGATTCCATAACAAACTTAAATCCAGCTTTAAAAACTTGAATCCAAAATCAAAAACTAAATCAAACCCTAAACCCACACTCAAAACAAACCCATATATCAACAACTAAATATAAACCACAAATCAAAACCCTCCATCCAAAACTCAGATCAAAACCCAAATCAAAAAGTAAATCATAACCCTGAAGATGGAGATGGAGATGGAGGTTTTAAATTTTTTGAAGAACGTTAAAGTTACATTAAACTTAGATGATTGAGATGCAACTCAAAGCCAACAAGATGGAGGTGGTGAGAGCCAAGGGGACTCGATCTTTGAACAAGATCTAGAACTCAAGAAACATTATCCAAATAAGTTTGAATCAAACCCATTTTCAGAAATCAAACACATTTGTTGGTGAGTTGGTGGAGAATAACTCGGTCTTCCATTGTGACCGATACTTTTGCAGGTGGTTGTTTTGGCGTTGTTTGTTTAAGCTTTTCTTTGTATATGCTCTATTTAAAGAGCCTAGTAGTATGAATAAATTGTATGGGTTTCTTGACTTAACTAATAAGTTAATACCATTCCTTTACAAGTGGTATCGGAGTTCCATCTTCCAGGGGTTGTTTGAGTGAACCTTTTAAACTTTTATTATTATTGTTTATAAAAGAGATAAAATAAGAATATTATATAAACCGAAAGATTTTACATGCATTATTGATTTATACTTAATCTTTTATATTTGTATTTCTGAAAATTCAAGAGTTTTTCAGAATAAAAACTCATATACTATGTAATACTAGAAGAGTACTTGTGCAATGCAGTGAGACACATCTCGATTTTGATGTTTTATTTTATTTTTTGTCTTTGTCGATGTTATAATACGATTTTATGTGTTTTTAAGAAAACAATAATAATTTTATTTTTGAATAAAATATAAATTTAAAGATATCATAAAAATTTATAATATATATATATATATATATAATATTATAATGTTAATATCAAATCAAGTATTTAAAAG